GCATAAAAAAGCATTTTAAAGATTGTCGTATAATGGTGCAAAAAGCAAAAAGTAAATTCATTGAATATAAATATTTTATTTACGTGAAAAAAAATAAGTATTATAAAAATGTATGATTTTTATATGTAAAATTCGAAGTTGTATAAATATATCCTTTTTCATAATATATGCACACCATAAAAGAATTATAATTGCTCAAATGTGTTTTATGAATCAAGTTATTAATTTATTAACTTTTTCAAGTATATTTATTATTGTCAATATGTACAGTTAAATTAAACTTATATTGTCAATCAGTGATTTAAAGAGAGAGACATTACATTGCAATTTATTATATCATAATTCAACAAATTATCTTGATTTTTCGAAATAAAAAAATAAAATATATATGTATATATTAATAAATAAGAATAAAAAATTATATCCCAATTATTGTTATCGAAAGTCGATTAAATCGATGCCTATAAATGTAGATTTATCAACGGTTGCATAAAGATTTTCACTGATAATTATTATTCACATAAAATACAATACAATAAATATAGTTGTACTTTAAATAAAAAAAATTACGCTTTCGTTGTAAATAAATAATACCTCAAATACTTTTATTATAAATAACAAAAAATACTAATATATATATTAAAAGAAATCTACATGTCCGCGTTTTAAAAAAGTAGGATATTTATTGAACAATGTCTCATATTTAATTATTTATAAAAATATATCGAATATTTAAAAAAATGATAAGACAGGTGCAATAGAAATGAAAGATCTCGCGTTGTGGAAGAGAACGTTTTCAGTTGATAAACATATACGGAGCAATGAATATCTGACAGTATACATTTGTTTACAGTCGCATGCCGGTATGTCCTCTAGTGACCACTCGCGGCGTCGGCGCGCGAATCAATTCGATCCCTTCCCTCGCTTGCCGCGCATTTATACGGGCGGCCTGTCTCTAGGCGCCTCAGTCTATGATTGAGACGCGGCAGCGTGAGCATGGGGTGCGCGCGCAATACCCCGCGAGACGTATCGTACGGCATTGCGCTTTCAACCGTTTGACGACGAGCAACGAGAAACGACGATTCTTTCGACAACGCTTTCGAGCCGCAGATAATAAGGACGAGAATCCACAGATTTGACAAAGTCGCTCAAAGGCGGGACAGTTTCGCGGCGCGAACGCGCCTATGTTCGCGTATGTCGCCGGGAAATCTAACCGGCTCCGAACATTCGATTTCCGCCGATGAGTGAAAGATTCGCTGCGCTGTCGTGAAACGAGATCGGGATCCTCGCGGGATTTTCCGCGACTGTGGTGAGGTGTCCGGAAGAAGGATCTCCTTGGATTCGCGAGGCAAATGTAAGTACCAGTTCTTATTATACGTATGTGTTTGAAGTGAGGAGTGAGTTATAAGTTATGGCCGTGTTTTTACGACGCTTATTTGCGAACCTCGATCGGAGATGTAAGTAAAACGATTGATTTGTTCCGGGGGCCAAAAGAATCATCGGGATACGTCATTTTGATTGATACCTCTGAAGGCGAACGATTGAATGTATTCATATTAACAGGGTATTTGTGATTGGCGTACTTTTCGAACTGTTTTGTTTACGCACAATGAAAGATCGTTTAAGATAGATAACAGGATTGTAAAAGATGTTATCAAATATTTACAATATAAGAAATTATTATGACATTTTTCAATTTTTAATTAAAAAATAAGAAATAATTTTTATTTTCTTGAATAACAATTTTTAAAAAATCTTTGATAAATCTTAATTTAAAAATCTTTTAAGTAGATTTATAGTTTTAAAAAATATAATATATAAATTTTGACATTTTCGAATTCCTACATTGTCATGTTTCTTTGAATAAAATTATCTCTGTAGAAAGATTACAATTATAAATATCACTTGATAACTGTGGAATTTCTTGTTACAATATACAATTTTGTAAAACTTTTTTATGGACGCAATGTCTATAATAAGAGTTATATCATTTAAATGAGAATTGGAGCATTCAATCTATCATTAATGTAAAGAAATGCGAATAACTGCATTACATCTGTTGCATAGCATATATGCGTCATTGGTAAGTTCGCTTATCCAGTGACATTGATAAGGAATCATGGCACGTAATATTATACTGTTAGACTTTAATTTGAAATAGGAATCGAGACGATAATCAAACAAAATTATCTTTAAAGAAATAAACATCAAATAAATGTAAATTTTCTGAAAAAAAAGCTATTGTTTATTAAATTATAAAATTAAGTATATTAATATTAATGCTCATGTGTATTTATATCAGGACATTATATTTAAATTATTATGCATTATGATACTATATGAAGAGTGCAGTACGTTAATCTCGTTATAGAACCGTAATGGATAATAATTAATTAAAGGATTATTTTATATAATTTTGTGCCATTATATCTTCCTATTCTGGCTACCTAATCACCCGTTAGAATAGTCTTTTTAGAGAAAGTTTCATTGTTCGATCATAAGGAAGTTCTGCTTCATAATCATTTAATTACATTAATTATGAGTGTTTTACGATGTATAACTAATTATCGCAAAATGTGATACGTGTGTTATAATTAACAGTAATTAATCAATATTTATTTCATACTTTCCCACACAGTATACAGTTTTCGTATTCCGTTTATATTTAATTTCTCATTGAAATTACTTTTGCATAGAAAGCTACATTGTTCTAACAATTGTAAGGAAATTGCATCATGATAACTAAATTAGAAGTCATTAATGCAATTAAATTACAGATCGCGTGACTTTATTTGCGTTAAATAATCTCACACGTTGTGTATTACGAAAAAAAAGTCTAGAAATCGAATAATCTGTTAACATGATCGTTTCTCAAAATTTGACTGGTATATTTTGCACAAAAATTAATAAGAAAATCAATACTATATATCAATTAATAAAAAAATGTTTATATCTATATACACTGAAAAAAATATTTATGTAAAATTACATGATTAAACTAGTTTCTTTCCGACCCATAATCATGCAATATTAATACTTATAAGAAGATTACAGATTATGTGCAATTTCATATGAAATATATTTTTAAATATTTTCAAGATTAAAAATATTTCACTGAACATATAATTACACATAAGAAATGTTAGTAATGTATAAATGCTATAAAATAATGTTATAAATAAAATAGATAAATACTTATAAAATACAATTCTAATAAAGTAAAGTAAAAATAGTAAATTTAAAATTAAATATGATTTTGTATAAAAATAGTAATTTTACCTATTTTTACATGCATTTTTACATTAATATGTATTAATATGTATTTTCACTTTAAAACAAATGGAAAAAAAATTACAGTGATAAGCAAGTAACTTTTCCAGTTCTGAACTAGTAATTTCCATGTAAAAGTACATGAATTTTTTTCAGTGTATAAACATTTTTATATATACTTTTTATATATTAATTATTTTTGTATTAAAAAATATATGAAAGAGGAAAAAGCGGAAAATGAAATGAAAAACTTGATGGATCTTTAATTTAGACCGGCAATACGCGGATTAGTTCGCGATTGACAAGTATATTCGCCACGGATGATGATTCGCGCGCACGTAATGGCGCGATAATTTTGCGACGATCGAATTGCCGATGCAATTACTCGCTGGAGGCGCGACTATACCCTTAGAGCGAAGATGATCGAGATAAGTGGATGGAGACAAAGCGTTTGGTCGCGTGAGATAGTCAATCCCGTGAATTGCATACCGCGCAACAAGATGTTTCTTTCTCTTTCTCTTTCTCTCTCGCTCTCTCGATAATAAGTAATAAACGTAGGCATGATGTATAATAAATGAACGGACATGACGTTGCTCGCCGTACCGCGACTATTCTCTTGAATGACATTGAACTTTCCTTTGATCTTGCATACACGAAATATTGCACTTTGTATGTTGTTTAATCTTAAGAACATTTTTATGGACTTATGTTTGTGTGCGTAAGAAATAATTTGCATAGTGCATTTGCAAGCAATTTTAATGAAGAGTAATACTGTTTTTTGCAAAAAACATCTCTTTCAACAACAATAACTAAAAAAAGTCGTAGAAATAATTTTATTTAATGTGTTATGTTTGTAAACAAAATATTCTACATTTTTACTATTATAATATTTTTACAATGATCGATATTTTAATAAATGTACATAGAGAGAATTTTCTCTTAAAATTTACCTTGAAAATCATAGTAATCGTGCAATAATATATTGGAAGAATTTTATAAGTTTCTCCACAATAAAAAAATTAATTGAACTCCACAATAAAAATATTAATATGTACATAGTAAATTTTACTATGTACGTATAGTAATAATATTTTATATTATTGTGGTAGATATTAATTTTTGTATTGTGGTAAATATTAATCAGAGAAATTCTTATAAAATTCTTCAAAGACCATATTGTCCCATGATTACCGTGATTTTCAGGGTAAATTCTAAGAGAAAATTCTCTCTGTGCATGAATTATTCTCGTGGCATTATTATTTTATGAAAATATATTATAAATGACTTTATTGCGCTAGCACATTGCACAGGATTAAAATCATACGATCGACAAACAATATTTGCATTACTATTACCATTCTATTGCTCGAATTCTATTGCGGCAACAGACGCGTTTACGGGAAGATTTGCTGCGTGCTGCGCGAGCATCGAGGCGCTTCGGAATAGCGTGCTGCTCGTTACGGCTGCTCTCCGGTTAAAGTGAATGGGGAACCCGCTCATTCATAAGATTTTCTTCCAAGAGGGGCAGCAAACAACCGCGCGCTCGCTCCTTGCCTCAGCGCAGCAAATGCACTTTATGCAGTGACTGGATATGCAACTTATCACTCACCCGCTAATGCAAAGTATTTCTCGATCGAAAGATGCGAAGCTCGCGAAAAAGGAGTTTGTGAATAAATATTTTGTCAGCAATCTTTTATTACGCTTTATTTTGCATAAACACAAATAAATTCAGCAAAGAATAATAATTTTATTATATAGTATACCTTTTGTTATATATTACTATATATATATAACGAAGAATTACAAAAATAATTTTCTTCATTTTCTTTTTGCTTAATAGAATAATTAAATTAATTTTTAAATAAAAATAAAAATATCGCAAAATAAATAAAACATACAATGCACACGATTAATTAATATAACTACATAAAAACGACAAAATTAAGTACTACATAAAAATAATTGAACAACCGACTGACATATTTAGAAAATGATTAACAAACAGGGGACTCGCGAACCGGCTTTATCTCGTCAATGCATACATATATGCACGAGGATACACGAATCGTAAATTCGCGATAATGTCCGATGGTTGTCATGTTAAATGCAACAAATCAGTGCTGGAAATAAAGAGAGAAAAAGAGAGGAAGAGAGAAAGAGATTTATCTCGCGAAGGAACACGCGAGGCCCTTATGCGATTTGTTAAAGGTTTAATATCGTTAACACGGCGATAATACAGTCGAAACATTTCTCTCGTTAAATCACGGTCTCTCGTTCGCTCTCGACGCCGACCAGCCAACGATTGCAACATTGCAAACGTCGCGATTAATGAACGGCTGTCATCGCATCGCCGGAAAATCAGTTGCACGTATCGCGAGCTATATGTGCTGTCGAGATGCGTTCTTCGAGAGAGACGTACGTTCTCTCGCGCATCGGATTAAGTTGGATTTCAACGCGTATACGTATATACGTATATACATACGTTCTGATATTCCGATGACAGCATGATCCTTAGAGCAATCAGCAAGCATGTAATTTTTGCGAAGGGGAATTAAATCGTGCCGCTAGTTTTGTTAGGCATACGCGTACGCGAATTGCCCCCAGGAGGAGAAATTATAATGTCAGGAGCGAACGGTTTTACGCTGTTTTCGAAACTAAATGTTCAAAGTTTCTCTCATTCGCCGGTCTTATTTCATCGATATAGAATTGACATTTCTTTACCAATTTTTTTTTATTTGCTTACTCGACTTCAAGTGGACGGAGCTCGCGTGCGAGCTACGCACGGTTATGGAAATTCGCCTCCGCGAAAGGAGTAGAGAAAGAAACTGGAAAAGACGTACGAAGAGAGAGAAGAAGGCAATAAGTCCGGCCGAGGCGGAGGTGATCAATCTCGGCGCGTTCGAAGAGAACTTTACGGGCCGGCGCGTAATGATAAACGACTTCGGAGTCGGCGTGTTCCGGACATTATCGGAGCGCGCGTAGAATCGAGATATCGCGTTTCTCGCTGGCGAACGCACCGTGGTCCATGCGCGACCATGCGCGACACGGATTTGCATTCGCGCGGGCGTAGTCGGACCGATCGGG